GGGGGGCGAACCACGACGTCGCCGAGGAGGAGGCCCATGACCTCCTCGGTCTCGGTGGTGAGGGCGTGGGAGAGGCAGGTGAGCCACACCTCCTCGCCGATCCTGACCTCCGTCAGCGACATCTCCGCCGGCCGGCCGCCGCCGATCGGCTGGGGTTTCGGGTCGGGCGCGGGGCGGGGCGGAGGGCTCGGTGCCGGAGGAGTGTGCTGTGCTGCGCCTCTTCTGGGCTCGCTGTGGGGTCGGTCGGAGTGGGCTCGGTCGATGACGGCTGGCTTGGCTTGTGATGTGTGCTTCGCTGACGGATGGGACCGGCGACGCGTTGTCCGGCACTAGACTACGGCGTGGGGTCGGCGGGTCGCGGCTCGTGTGCGGCCGCGCCAGCGGACTCTGTGGATGGTGCTCGCCCGCAGATCTGGGTTCGGTCGGAGAGTGCGGTGTCAGGGCTTGGGTTGGGTTTGGGTTGGGCTGGGCTTGATAGTCTTTTTGGGCTGGACGGAAGCGGCAGAAGAAATGGGGTACTTGGGGTGCGTATTGGATTTTCTTTGAGAAAAAATATGCGAGAAGTGGATATGGAGGCCAAGCGCCACAAAGCCCTTTAAATGTTTTTTCATAAAATGATATTTCCACACCTCAAAAAATCTGAAAAAATATAAGTATAACATAAGCATATATTTGTAGTATATACATGTACAAAATTTCATGAACATATAAGCACACATGCTATATGAAAAAAAGACAAATACATAGATTAAAATACGTTTTTTCTTCGTTGTATTTAGGCAAGATATTTGTCCTTTTGTGTAGCCTACATAGAATTTGATGATGAAACTTTACATATAATTGAAAAGGATGTGTATGTATTTCTAGAAAAGGGTTCATATTTTTAGAACTTTTAAATATACATTTAATTTCTTTTGAAACGAACTCCCTAGAGCTCATTATCCACACCACAACTACAAAAATAAATGGCTCATGTTGCCCGCCTTCTAGCCATGAATTGCGAGAAGGCGTTACATAGGGTATTAAAGCCAAGTCACAACTAAAGTAGACATCTCATAAAGCCCGATCATGACTTCAGGGTAATCAAGATCAACATACTCTCCGCCATGGTGCCTAAAGGAATTCGACTAGTGAACGGTAGAATCAGGATGGACCTGGGAAGAAGCCGACTAGGAGATGTTGACGTTGACATACATTATACCCTGTAGGCTCATGCTCCTGACAGCGTCCAACGCTACTCCAGTTGCACCTTGAAGACTCCATGAGCAACCTAGACGAACACCTCGAAGGATAGCATGAGGTCACGGTGTCACCGCAATCATATATTTTTTTTACTAGTTGTATTTTAGAAAGCTCACCGTGCTATGTGTAATCAATTGAGAAAAAAAGTACTTCAATCTCCATCGCCTCCATAACCATCGTGATTTGTTGTCATCACCCTCATCTATATCAACACGCCACTTTCTTCATTGTGCCTAACATAGTCCATCTCTCACGTGGGATGGAGTGTTCTCATGCTTTCCCCCGAGTCTGCCATCACGCTAATATCATTAAGAAAACAACCATTCGCTATGGACGCCAACATTGCGGTGATTGTGTTGTAGACCCCATCACGCAACCATCATAGGCAGCGCAAGGGAATCCCACCGCCGAAGCATTAAGGCCTCGTGTGATAGGCTCCGAGCTGGTGGGACTTTCGTGTGGCCCACCCACAATATTTAGATGTGACATTGTAGCTAAGAGCGCAAAGGGTCTACTCGTAACCTCACATCAACAACACACGCAATATGTATGGAGCTAGTGGGGCTAAAATTAGGGAGAAAATGAAATACTTTAGATGGTACATATTTGAACAATTCCATGAATTGTGTGAACATTTTATATGTGATGAACATTTTCTGGTAGAAATAGTTTTGAAATAACAAACAGAACATATTTTTGTCAAATGGGACGTTTTAACACTAGTACTTTTTATAAAATTTATTAAAAGCATAGAGTATAAATACTATTTTTTTAACCTTTTGGATTTAATAAAGCGTGGAAAATCAGAAAATAACAGATGCCCTAGTGGCCGCAACAAATCCAGTCAACGGCGTGGTGTTCTCGAAACATCTCCTCCCTGCCTCTGCCTAGCTCTTCTCGCTCCCGCTTGTCTCCGCCGCGGCCGGCGCTCGGCCGTCCGCACAGGAAGCACCGCCCCGCGCCGCCCTCCGCTCCCATTGGTCGGTCGGCCCAAGATCCTCATCCGAACTTAAGGTAGACGCAAAGAATTTCACCCTGTTTAAGAGTAGATCCGGTTCAGGGGTTGCGATATCATGCCAGCTGCTAGTCTATCTCCACATCTTCAACTAGCACTTGTTTGCTTGTGTTTCCGATAGATGCATGTGAAATTCGTGGAGAAAAGCCTGGCATCTTTTGATGGCTCATAGCTGTTTGATTTCTTTTGAAGGCAATAATAGTAGTTCAAGAAAATAGTACTCCCTCTCCAATCCATATTAATTGTCGTTGATTTAGTACACAGTTTGCACTAAACAGCGACAATTAATATGGATCGGAAGGAGTAATTGAATTGTTATTCCTGGTTCTTAATGTTAAGTCCAACTTCAGAGGAAGTACTTGTGCAAAAAAAAAAAAAAACTTTTCAAAAGGATTTGAGGAGTTTATATGTCACCTTTGCTCACCATTAGTTCTGCAAATCAAATTTACTGTTTGTCCATACCATTGGGTTAGTTTCTCTGCATTCTGAGTATCTTCTTAGAAGAATGCAGAAAGGGGAACAGCTGGTGCCTTGGCGATGGTGAACTAGCACATAAGTCTTATCTAGATTTTGGAGCATACAGCCATATTCCGTTTATTTAATGTAGTGCTTTCCTTTCGAACTGTTAGAATGTTTTGGTTCAAGTTCTACACATGCTAGACTGGATGCATGTTTTTTTGTAAGGAACTAAAATGTAGCATGTGATACATACAAGAAGGAAGATGGAACTGAGACCTTTGTTCAGATTTGTATATGAAGGGAAATTAATTATCTGTAGATTTACCTCAGTTAACCTTGAATCATCTTTTAAGAATTAGCAAAATTTTGATGTTATTATGTATATACTTCTCTCTTTTGTATACTCCCTCCGTCCCATAATATAAGAGCGTTTTTGACACTACACTAGTGTCAAAAACTTTCTTATATTATGGGACAGAGGGAGTAGTTGTTACATTTAATTGCTTGTCCATCTCTTTATTAACAGACAAAATGGGCTCAAGACTTTTTGCTTTGTTCATCACTGGCGTTGTCCTTTTGGGCAGTAGAATCTTGGCCTTGGACCATACTGGTATGTGGCCGTTTAACCTCGATCCTGCATCCAGTTGTAAGCAAGCAATACAAGATTTATTTTCTAACGGCTGTTTTGTTTTCCTGAGTAGAATTTTCCTTCTATTATGGTAATACGAGATTATATACTGAAGGTAACACAAAATCGTGACTAGAACTCCCAGATCGATATTCATAAAATAGTGCACATGATGATGCTATGTTAGGCCCTGTTTGAGATGCAAGGATTATGTTATCCTCCCATGGATATTTGAGGTCCAGCCAGAAGTAGGAACTAAAATTATCACTATATTCATTTGGTTGCGAACTGGTCTGGACCCAAGTCTAGTGGAAGTACCTGTATCCTTCCAGGATTGAAAATTAATTCGGAAACCGTCCACTTCTCAGGAAGGAGAATGGAAGGTATAAGGTTTTATATCTGTTTATCTGAATGTGAGGAGCATCCGTTATTCAAACATTAATATAAAGTTGAATGAGGAGGGATCTCCATTCCCAAATCCTTTATCTCTCTTATCTCTATGTAAAGAAACTAATCAATGCCTATCTTTTTCCCTCGCCCCTCTAATTTCTGTATATCCACTCATGGACTCACCAACAGACAATTGTCACTGATTACTACTTCAAATACTTTTATATGTTCCAATCTTGTTAATTATGCCAGGATAAAGTCAGGCTCATAGCATGCTGATGATTACCGATAATCTTCTATCAATCTTCTACACATCGGAGACCTACTTAACCGAGATCTTTGTGTCACTGGTTCTTAGGGTTTAGGGTGTAATATAATATATGAGTAATACACATGACCTTGTTACATACTATTGTTTTCAGAATTTTGTTTGTTTGCTTGTTGTCTACATTTTCAAATATATTTTTGAATTTTGTTTTCAAATACTTGGATATTCATCCTTGTTTGAATCAGTTTTTATGTCTTATTTATTTGATTTTGTTGTAGTTGTCGAAAAGAGATTAAATGAGAACACGGTATCTCTTACAACAAAGGGAAGTCCACAACTATGCCAACTTTGTGAGCAGTTTGCCACAGAAACCCTCTTCTATTTGAAGGAGAATGAGACACGGATCGAAATTATAGATACTCTTCACCAAGCTTGTTTGAAATTTCATTCACTTAAGTTAGAGGTATTTTTTAACTTAAAAGTAAAATCAAATGCTCTATTTCTTAAATAGTTATTGTACTTATACCTATGTTCTAAATCAAGCATTTCGTATTTCAATGTGCTCTTGATTTTTACATGGCAGTGTACAAAGTTGGTTGATTATTATGCAGCACTGTTCTTCGAACAAATTGATTCTCTAAGCCCTGAAGAATTTTGCGTATCAGCAAGTCTTTGTGAGGAAGTTACATACATTCGCCTCCCAGGACATGAACATGCTTGCACCCTTTGCCATGAGGTTGTTGATGAGATTCGTGCTGGTCTTGAAGACCCTGAGATGGAGGTATTCTTTATACGATTTCTTCCTTTTGAACTATTATGTTCGTTCCTATGTCCTTTGTGTCTGATTTCTTTAAATTATTATGTTCTGAAACTCCCGAGTTACATTTGGTGTATGAGTATACATCGAAACCTAGTTCTCAAGAGCTTATTAGCCCTTTCTTTATCTTTCTTATGTTAGGAGAGGATATAACAATGAATAACTTAGCTCAACCCTTGTCACTCTTCTCTTCATTTCTCTGCTATTATCCACCATGTTGATACTGTAGTTTATCTCACTAGGATGGAGCTCTCTGCTCTATAGTACGAAAACTACTAGTCAGTCCATATTGGGATTGTTTGTACAAGCATAAACCAGGGAAAGATTTATCGTGTATCTATAGTTTCCTATCTTGTCGAACACTCCCAAGTACTAGGTTGTTTGTCCAGGTTATCTTCAGTTTGGAATTCAGACATCAAGTAGAGCCAACAACCTAGTGACTAATGCAATGCCGAAATGTTATGGAACATGGTAGGGAGTGGCCAGTTGCATGTTATTTTCACTGATCAATTTATTTCCTACATGGCATATCACGGACAATTAACTAGCGTAGTTGTAAGGAGTGGTGGGTTGGGTTGACTAGGTGATTATGGTTTCAAATGCTGACTTGCAACCTACTCTCTCCATCCGAAAAAGCTTGTCCCTCAAATGGACAAGCTTTTTTCGGACGGAGGGAGTATTAGCTGGGAACTGCCAATGCTGGCAAGGGTGGTCTGATACAGAACCGGTGATAGCAAGGGTGTTCCATATCTGATTGCTAATCTAGTCGAGACTCGCGAACATGAGTCTTGGTCGAGCTTCTCCCAGTTTAAAAGTCCTATCAGCCAGGAAGTGTCGGTGCTGGATTAGGTGCATTTTTTGTTTTTATGCAGCACATAAATAATGCCAGTTTTCTTTCATATTTGCACTGGCACCCAGATGCCTCTCTATCTACTTAACAGCTTTTGTGTGGTAAAAGTGAGTGACTAGCCAAAAGAGGAAACTTAAACCTGCCATTGATCTGGTCTTGACAGCTCAAGATAATCGAGATACTTCTGAAAGGATGCAACAACACAGAGAGTTTCGTACAGAAGGTAAGCATCTAAATATATCTTCTATTGAAGTGTAGTGTATCTATTTTCAGTAGTATCATTCTCAATCGTACCATATTGTAATTCAGTGCAAGAAGATGATAATCCAAAACACACCGGTCATACTAGAAGATATCAAGAAGTTTCTCAAGAAGAGAGATTTCTGCGACTCTATCCGTGTCTGTGGAGGCAAGATTGTTCGCCCTCGAGGAGGAGGCCTAAGAGGCATGTATACTGCCTGAGCTTTTCTCTCCTGAACACGCATGACAATTGCGTGTCATTTCATGAAGAACACGCGTGAGGGCTGGGCTCTCCAACCTCTTGCAGTGATGTTTACAAGAGAGATTGGTGGTGTACGTGTACGAAACAAAAGGTCTTCCTGATTATTTCCGAGCAGTGTATATATTATAGTACAGCATTGGCTGTGTACCTGGAAAGAAGTGAAATGAAATTTCCACTGGAAAGCATGCACGCCCTCCGTGATAGTTGGTCCTACATGATTGTTATGAAACACGAGCAGAATGTATGCTTAAAGTGTACAGTATGTCTGTATGTAAACAAATTATTAATTATGTGCAGTGGACGTTTATTTATGATGATTCAGATCTGGCCCTGTATTGACTATGCATTCGTCACGGAGATCTTCGCAACTTTGATCATAGAGTCAGAGCCATGGTATTTTGTACGCACACGTCAGATTAATGAGGAGACTAATATAGCGAAAAGAAGATTCATACAACCTCCGTTCCTGAATCTTTTAAAGATTTTAATTATGGACTACATACGAAACAAAATGAATAAATATGTACTCTAAAATGCGTCTATATCCATATGTGTAGTCCTTCTTAATGTCTAAAAAGACTTATATTTAGAAATAAAGGGAGTATGCCATAAGGTTTGTCTACCAAATCTGCTCGATCCAAGATTATTATGTACAATGCAGGCCCGGACGATGTTCGATTCAGCGTTGAAGTGCACCATGATGGATTTATCCGTGGGTTGGCTCAACTGGTACTACCTATTTGGATGAATCTGCTGACCCTTTTTGTTGACTGATAGGGGTACTTTCTATTGTTTTTCCCCCCTAAGATTCTTTCTATTGTGTTTTGATTGCTAAGATGTTGATAGATCTCTACTCCTAATGGAGCAGTTGGTAGTCCCGCTTTCAGATTTTTTTTCGTCCCATCTCCTATGGTTTTTTTGTACCTCATCTCACCTCACACTGAGCCGCCACGAACCGAAAAAATCGCGTACCCGCCCCCACGCACTCTAGGACCTAACCTCCGATCGCACCCAAGACAATCCAGCGAAAAAAAACCTACAAAAATTAACCAGCGAAAAAAACCCTAATGGAGGAGTTGGTAGTCCGGTACGGTTTATTTTCAACATTTTCCTAATGACAAAAGATCACGGATCTAACTTTCCTACCTTAGGCAAATCAATGAATCTCTCTCATTAATGCAATTTGCTTTAGAAAATAAATAATAGATTCTTTCCTACCTTAGTCAAATCAACGGATCTCTCCCATTAATGCAATTTGCTTTAGCAAATAAATAATAGATTCTTTCCTGCCTTAGCCAAATCAACGGATCTCTCTCATTAATGCAATTTGCTTTAGAAAACAAATAATCTCTAATCTCTAATCTCTATCTCTAATCTCTAATTCTCTAATAATAATATAATAATACCTAAAAAAAACGCAGTGTTCCGTTTCCCGTCTTACGTCGTCGAACCCTTCGTCGAGACTCCCTCCCGTGCGCTGTTGGTTTTCCCTGCGTACGTTCCACCCCAAACATGATTCATTCTTCTTAATTACGTGGTCCCACCCCCATGCGATCCGGTGAAAGAACCAGCAAAACCGTCATACCCACGCACGCAACCAACGAAAAATCCACGCAAGCCGTGTCTCCTCCTCCCTGTTCAAACCCTAGCCGCCCCTTCCCAATTAACGCCGCTAGCGAGTAGCGCGTAGCACAGGCACCAGTGCGGCCCTTCCGCGGTCCCCCTTGACATCGCAATGAAACAGCCCGTTGGCATCGACGACGAGCCGGTGCGTCCGATGTTGATTCCTGTGGATGGGTCAAGCAGGACAGGGGGCGGTGGATCCGGGACATAGCAATGAAGTCTGCTTCGATGCGCGCCCAATATTGTCTGTCTCAAGTGCATGGGTCAATCCTGGACGACGGGCGATGGATCAAGGACGTACATAGCAGCTTTCACCTACGCAAACGGCTGACTACTCAACCTCCTCTCGGCGGTGGCAGCGGCCAGGTCTGGTTAGCTACCATTTATCTTTAATACATGCCATGAAAGGCGGCCAAGAGGAGCAATCATAAGCAGCGAGGTGTTCCAGGGCTACAAGCGCCAGTACTGCAACTCTGCGTCTGCGAGGTCTTCGCCAAGATCGCCACCCTTTCTTCCCGTGCCTATTTCTAATCGCTGTTGTTGGTTTCGTCTTACATGGTGAGATCTAAGCAGACAAGATGAAGCAGAGGCTCTCTGAGATCCAGTCCGACGTGCAGGATACTGAATCGCTGGTAAATACTAGATTGTGTTTTATGATTTGATCATCCATTCCGCTGCCTTACATACTGCCTTTGGGACACTATAAGAACTAGGCATGTGATTTTGTCAGGTGGAGGCTTCATTTGGATGTAGGTGAATGTGTGATTTCTGGAAGCTCTGTATATTAACTTCATGATATGCTCTTGATTTTCTTCTTGGGGACTAGATTTGAAGATTTGCCAGCTACACCATCTAAAAATCAGGCTGCTGATCCGGGTGCATTGCTACTCGGCCTTGCGTTCAATTGAAGTTTTCTGAGATCAACTCTTCTGAAACTTCAAAATGAGTAGTCCACGTATTTTGAGGTTGCTACTTGCACATTGTTCATCTTTCTGTCAATTTTGTTCCATTATTTTGCACTCTGTCTGCCAATTTAATTGCATGGTTTAGGGTGCGATGGTGGCGTGGGCGCCGCACGGGGTAGGAGCAGTGCCCTGCACAGGCCAGCCCATGCCGGGAGCTAGCATCGCGCCAACGCCTCCATGAACGCCGCCATGACGCGTTGCATGGTGTCGCTATCGGGTGTGGCCCCCCAACATCGCGATGTGTGCTCAAGCATGTCGTTTGTGGCTTCAAGCCGCCTGGTGGCCACCATGGCATCATGGCTAAAAAAGAGGTTGGTGATGAAGAGCCTGCGCTCGTCCAGACGGATATGGCGAAGCATCCACGGCGATGTGGATGCAGCTGCAGCCGTGGCCGGATGGAGAAGCCTTAGGTCCTGGTAGATTATCTACTGATGGCATAATCCTCCAGAGCTACAATAGCCAGAAAGATGTCTTGCCATGGGGAAGCCTCGCTGCTGGAAGCGCCATTAGTGATCTGATTTGAAGATTCCAACAAGAGGTCAATGGAATTCTCATCTCCAATATGTTCGCATTCTAACATGTCCTTGTTGATTCAGTTGTTACATTGTGTCACACTTCACTTGTTTTCACCTTTTTCGTACTACTATGCACTGGAATGTCCATGTTTGCTAATTTGCAGATTGAATTGTTCTGATAAAATATGCTAATATATGTCACTTCTTTCTGAAAGGTATCCGGAACTCTTAACTGCATTGCTCCGGTGATAACTTTTTCTTATTGTTGCCATTTTGTGTTCCGGTCAAGATTTTCTTCTTTCACAGACATTAGAAGTCTAGAACTGGGATAAAAATAAATAAAGTTTGGAATAAGCTAGAATCTTAATAATCTCCAATATCTGCTCCACATGTGTGGAATCAATCATCTAGATATATATACTCGGATTGATGCAGCCATGCCCAATAAGAATCTTCATGTAAATAAATCGAAGGATTCTCTACTAATGAATAGGGAGCTGCACCAGACATCATATGGTCTTTTCATTTTCGTGGTAAGACTGGACTGACCTCAAGACTTAAGTATCTCGGAACCATGCTTTTCCTGCGTAGTTTTCAACATGCTATTACATGGTCTATTAAGTGCGTGTGAAGATTCTTGAATTTACCCTGACATTATGGAACCTTTGTGCTAAAACAATTAAATATGTTAATCTATAATGATAGCAATGAAGACACGCAGTTCCGTTATCAGTACAGTGCAGATGGTCATGTGGCCATTATGGCCTATCTTCAGTATTGTGGTTAACATTGACAGGATTAATGTAATCTTCGAAACGACATGTTCCATTTTCCCTATGTATTTTTTTGTTCAGATGCCCTACTACTGTTTTATTGACTGCAGGCAATCTATTTTGTATGGTATGATTTTGTTTGTTGGAGAGATACTAGCTGCCCCTTTTCCACCTGTTAGTAAGTTTTGTAGCAGACTTCTTAATTGGTATTATAGACGTTCTAAGATAGACGTGGTATTTTCAGTTAGACTAATTTCTTGTATTTTATCCACTGTTATAGGAGTTTGTTACCTTTGTTTTTTGATCGAAAATTAAAATGTGCATGCATTGTCGAAGTTTGCGAAGTAGAATTAATAACCTTCTGGTTATTGATCAACGCAAGGGCATTCAGCTATCCTTGAAAAAAAAAAGAACTGTCAAACTGCTCAAGAACCTGCCAGGTCAAGCCTCTCCCTCCGCTGTTTGGCACTGCCTACCCCTCTCCCCGAATACTGCGACAGGGATGATCTGGTCCATCGAGAGAGACTGATGCTGTCGACCATTGATGTCGCATGGGAGATCTGCGATAGTGGAAACATGCTCCCCTTCGCGCCAACGGCGCCTTGAGGTCACTGACACGGGTGACCCAGCGATTCGCCGCTGCCATCCCGAGCTACTTTGCCAACGTCGTGGGCGTGGGCTACTGGCCTTCCAGGTACTCGACCGCCGGGCTTATCGAATTGGGCCACCACGGTGCTGCTGGCCGCCGGTCGTCTCACTATAGATGCATCATGTGTCGTCGGCCATGCCAGCATCGCCGCCTACATTTCCCAAATCAGTTACCCGTACGGTCCATGCATATCCGGAGACGTTGGTGCGTTCACACTTCTCATGGATCTTTGTATTAGCCTGATAGTGTTGAGATCTCAAAATTTTGCTGTAGGTGAAGAAGGGATTCCTATCGCGAAATTCTGCTGTAGGTGAAGCGCCTCCTGTAGGCCATCAAGATGACCAGGGATGCATTAGGAGGCGGGCGACGTAAAGCGCTGCAAAGGAGTATTGTATTTGAAGGAAAAATGCCCTAGAGGCAATAATAAAGTTATTATTTATTTCCTTATATCATGATAAATGTTTATTATTCATGCTAGAATTGTATTAACCGGAAACATAATACATGTGTGAATACATAGACAAACATAGTGTCACTAGTATGCCTCTACTTGACTAGCTCGTTGATCAAAGATGGTTATGTTTCCTAACCATAGACATGAGTTGTCATTTGATTAACGGGATCACATCATTAGGAGAATGATGTGATTGACTTGACCTATTTCGTTAGCTTAGCACTTGATCGTTTAGTTTGTTGCTATTGCTTTCTTCATGACTTATACATGTTCCTATGACTATGAGATTATGCAACTCCCGTTTACCAGAGGAACACTTTGTGTGCTACCAAACGTCACAACGTAACTGGGTGATTATAAAGGTGCTCTACAGGTGTCTCCGAAGGTACTTGTTGGGTTGGCGTATTTCGAGATTAGGATTTTTCACTCCGATTGTCGGAGAGGTATCTCTGGGCCCTCTCGGTAATGCACATCACATAAGCCTTGCAAGCATTGCAACTAATAAGTTAGTTGCGGGGTGATGTATTACGGAACGAGTAAAGAGACTTGCCGGTAACGAGATTGAACTAGGTATTGAGATACCGACGATCAAATCTCGGGCAAGTAACATACCGATGACAAAGGGAACAACGTATGTTGTTATGCGATCTGACCGATAAAAGATCTTCGTAGAATATGTAGGAGCCAATATGAGCATCCAGGTTCCGCTATTGGTTATTGACCAGAGACGTGTCTTGGTCATGTCTACATTGTTCTCGAACCTGTAGGG